CAATTCAACATAGGATTTGCTGACACTGGTGGCTAAATTGATACATTTTTTTATTATTTCGCCAAAAAAACATTTGTAGGAATAGGTTTTGAAGCTGCTAGGTAACTAAGTTCTTATTTGGGAATTACTGATAGGCTCGAAACATACTAATACCTTACATAATTAATGATGCCTATTGCCTCATCGACACTCCCTCTATAAGTGTGGATTGGGAGACGTCCTATTTTCCCGGAAAGTCACATCTTTTCTGTGACCCATTGGCATGAGTTGCTGTGTAGTGGAAGCATAAAGTATTCCCACAATGATCACGGCTCAGTTTCGCATCGTTTTGGAGGCGCTCACTAAAAAGAAGTAAGTTAAAATTCCAGTCTATGTTAGATATAAAAACCTTTTGGGAGTGAACTTTAATGTTAATATGAAGCCTTCCCATAGCATTGTGATCAAAACTCCACTATTAGCCCTTGAATCACCTTAGGCAAACGAGGTCGACTAATTTCTTAAACGATTTATACTCGATATGTGAGTAGTCCCAACATAAACACTGTGGTGTATACTCATAAGAGGGCTGGCTTTCAACAAAGCTTCTGACAGCTTTTTTAGTTGGTTTCACCCAGTTTTCCCCATCCAGTCATGCCTCCAGGGGGACTTCCTGTCCGGGGCAAAAACGTATCCTATTCTACATTGTTTTCATGCGTTATTTCAACACCAGGCCTTTGAATGGCCACATTTAGAAACCTGTCGTCGACATCTTCAATGAGCAGCGCTATCACCGAGCTACTGCTCATCAAAATAATTAGGCATAACTAACTGACCTAAGTTCGAAAGAGCACATTAATATGTTAGCGGAGGATGCAGTAACTAAGGGTAAGGCAATCTTAGTCTATGTATCGAAGTTTATTACTGTTTATTACTTTCATTTTGTGCGAAATCAGAGGGTGACACGTTTCGTAGGTTGATTTCAGACGAAATGATTGTCACTTCTCCTTGGCCTGCTGTGATTTCACCACACTAAAACGTTTGTGCTGACTAAGTAGTATAGACGCCCTCGTTTGGCCTCGAAGAATAATTGAGAGCTTTTTAGATCTTCCTACTTTACACTTTCGCTCGAAATTAACTCTATCCCTATGATAACGAAGTGACAAACGCCCCAGAGGTTTTGTGACTCAAAATATATTGGAAAAATCTGTTAGAAATCAAATGAGGATTTTTGAAGATGGATTCAGCATCAATTTAGGCATCTTTGCATGCTCAGTAACGACGTTTCTGTTCCTCAATCTACTTCTCACTTGTACACTCTCTTGCATAACCAAATTCGATTTTCTTATTACTCCAATACATACTTAAAACGGATCATAGTTGGGTCGTAAGCCAAAATTTCGGGTGCCTCTTACTTTTGGGTGCACTTCGTTTTTTGCTTTTATCAAAAGAATGCAAATGTCTCTCTTCACTTTTTCATTGCTTTTTATGCCAACCAACAGCTTGCCAAAAGCGAGGACGTCTGGAGTCTGCGATTGAAGGACTTGAAGGAATCCGAGGAACGACGATTTAAACTTCGCGAGAAGCAGTTCGAAACTGATTTGGATGGTGCGTAATAACTTTATAGATTTTAAAAGCAAATCTCAATCTCACCAACCCTGTCACATACTTGCCTATCATACTGCTACTCTGCCTACTTACCAATAGGCCAAGTCCTATCCACTCCAGACATCTGTCCTTCTCTACTATTCCTTTTAAGGATTTACTTCTACTCGTCCACAGTGATGTAGTACAAATTTTTGGTTCGTTTCAGAGTTTTGTGCTTTTTCTTAAATCATAGCCTGTAGTCGACCAACCAAAAAGTGGTATAATTGTAAGCATGAAGACCTAGATGACTTGGCCTTTATTTTGGTTGCAGTCCTTGCTTGATCTCGTTTACTAAGCTCTATCATGTTGTCAAGGCAATCTAGATGAACGCAGCTTGTCCGAAGTACTCTTCTATGGTATTCGTGATAATTTCCTGCTGGAAACCTACCAAGTTCACGGTCCCACGCTGAAAATAGTCATTAACACTTTGGCAGAGGACCTCTGACAAGATGCCTTCATCTAGATCACCCTGATGATACGGCCAAGTAGCAACAATGAGGTCAACCCCCCTCTAAATAGTGGTATATTTGTGAAAGCGCAAGGGCACCGTCTACATCTCTTGCCACTACTAGCTCCCATATCCGAAATGTCAAATTCTTGTCCATCTTCTATCTTCAGATTCACTTATAGTTGTCGATATGTTGATGTAGTCTCTGATACATATTACGATGAAAACTATTTGAGGCATTTTCTACCACATTTTCTGACTTGAAAAACAAGTATTTATAGTCATAACGTTCCTTAAAAGTCAATTGGGCAGTTTAAACTTATTTATGATTCAATGCTAATGAGTTATACATTCTAGACAGTGGCTGCCACCAGAAATTCCGATGAGGTAGACAGCAGTTGGGGCAGGTGAATATTGTGCAAGCCTGCAATATCGAGACTCTCTGAGGGGTTCATGGCATAACTGTCATTGTGATCGACATCGAAGATTAGTCGCATTGGGAAAATTCTTTTGGCCGTGGGAGGGTACCTGAGGTATAACATGAGCACTTTCAAACCTGTCGCGTTGACATGAGATTTGGAGGGAGGGCCCGCGCTGGAAGCTTTGTGCAAGGACGTTCGATCTGGGTGCATCGGAAGAAGTAAGCTGCCGATTATGGCTGATTCCATGAGAAATAATATCCGGTGTAAGTAATAGCAACTATATGGGTGTGCGAGAACACATCTGGTACGCAACAATGACTCTATCATCTCTCAAAAAGCAGAGTTCCTCTCTCATACACAAATGATGTCGAGTCGTCCTTGCCTTTTATCGAGCTCGTCTAGACATGAAGAATGTGACATCACGTTATTATTTCTTCTATGACTCCATTGCCCTCTGCCTTTTGACTGGAATGAGACAACAATTCTGATACATTGTACAGATAACATAAGAAGCTTTCAGTTTTTCAGTTGTCGGGTAAACGATGCACTTCAACTCAAATAGAATACCTGCTTTTGCCTCAGACTGTTCGCCAGTTTTGTCTTGTAGCCCATTCAGGTCTGGTCCTAAAGGCAAAATATTCAGAGCAAGACTATATCGAATCATATCATGAAATGAGCAATGTGTATTTCTATTATCTTTTAACACATTTTCTTTTATCACTTTGATTCGGAAATCATCTTGAAGATTACCTCCAGAGTTCTTGGTACTAGACCAGGATGTACGCAATCAAGGAGGACCGAATGGACGAGTATCGACATTATGCCGGATGCACTATGTAGATCCTTGTGTTAGCACCACTTTGGCTATGCACATGTTTATCATATCATATACCTCATCAATATTAATACATGGTCTTATAAATATAGACAGG